TCTCCCAGGAATTAAGTTCATGAGCTGCTCCATAGCCCTGGCATCTCCTCAAGCATGACAAGTTCACCATTTATTCTGTATTAATCCCAAGATATTACACCCAAGAGGCAGAGATAACTGTGAATACTCTTTCCTGGTCCTGCAGAGTGCATCCAGGAGGCAAACAATCCATAAAGGGGAAAAAGGGAGCCCCATAGATCTGTGTGGGGAAGGACAGTGAGATCTTGAGCATCTCTCCTGCATCCCACTCTCCAGAGATCTGTGCATTCCAACTGTACCTGTTCCTAGCTCAGCTCTGGGAGGTGAAGCATGACTCCTTGTTCACCTTGTCCCCATCTGCAAGGAACGACCAACAACGCCTACAAGGAAACAAAAATTCTCATCCAAATGCTTTTTACCTGCCCTTCCCAGCAGGGAACTGTGTGCAGCTGTCACAGCTAATGTTGTGGAAGTTCTCTTTGGCCACAGAGCTTGGCAGGCTTCTACTCCTTGGTCATCCACAAGGAAATCCAGCCAGCATTTATGGGCACCTCAGTGTGATGGGATGTGGCAGGAATGGCAGCCTGACTCCTCTGTTTGTCTCAGGGTATCACTAATTATTTCTACAGCTCTTGAAGCCCTTATTAACAGCAAACATTAATAAGCTGTGCTGTCCTCATGTAGAGTCATATTTAATGAAGTTACAAACTGTGTCTATTTACCATAAACCCATCTCCTTTATGCAAGCTTAGCAGTGAATAATTCTAATACTGTGTTATGTTCCTGTGATACCATTTCAGTCAGTGCAACGTGGAATTGGCTTTCATTATCCCAGTTACCATTGATGTTCAGGTTGAAACTAAATAAGATCACCTTTTTCTCGTTCAACCTATGGCTTTTCTGAAGGAAACTACTGTTAAAACATGATGGGCATTTATTTAATTGCGTTCTGAGCAAATTGTAAGCCATACAACAGCACAAAGGTCAAGATGAGAAAATCTTTGGGTATTACAGACATTTCAGAGTGTTATCATTAGATAAAACCTTGAGACATCTGCATGTTAGTTAATGGTTGTTCTGCTTTCCTGGATAATGACCTATTTCTTACAGAAGAGCTAGTATCTATAAATTTCTCATTTGCTGCCTGGATATTTTAATAAAAACTAAGATATTTTAATTCAGTGTGTTTCATATACCAAATTATTTCTGCAAAGACTTTTTAAATCTGCTTAAAAATGATCATATACACAGAAAGTACTGCCTCTTTTACCTCTCACAAAACAACCCCAGGTTCTGATGGATGAGTGATACTGCTTAATATATAAAAGCTTTTCATTGTTATCATGTTTTTAACCCTGCTCGTTATTAGATGAGTAACCCCAAAATCTGCATCACTAAACATTAAAAAAAATCAAAAATAAAAAAATTCCATCTTGTTTGAGCCACTGTTACACCAGGAGATGTGTCCATATATTACATATCTCATCCCAGCTGTCAGAGGAGGGCTCTCATGTTTAAGTGATTTAAGAGTGTGGATCAGAGGCCACTTGCTTCCCCTTAGGTAATAATAATAAATATGCTAATGCTTTTAGTGTCATTGTTAATTCCTTGTTTGTGAGCACTCAGAGACAGGCTGAAGCAATGTGGTCTGAAGGCAGGATTTGAAGATGAGTTATTCCCAAGGAGATCAGGGAAGCCAAAATTCTGAGCTTAAAGCACCTCCACTTCAGTGTGGGGGACCAAGTCTTCTTCCACATACAAGGAAAACACACTGAGGTTTTAAATTCTTTTCAGGACATCCTGTTACACAGGCAGCAAGGACTAGATCTTCACTTAACCTCCTCCACTCTAACTTCCACTTTGCTTTCAGTTCTCATGTAAGGACTCATCAGTTTTGGCCAAAATCTTCTTTGGGACTACACACCAAATGTGCTATTCAGGGATAAATATTTGAGGCAACAAATCAACAGATGTGAAGTGGTAGTAATTTCAGTTGAGTTTTTAACTTATATTTTGATTTCAAGCACATTAATTTAAAATCTTCACTTATCAAAGAAACACGTGTTAACCCTTGCTCCATCAAAGCTGGGATTGTTCAACACCATAAAAACCTACTGTAATACTCATATAAAAAAACTCATTCTTTCTTCTTGTTCTTTATATTTGGGGTTAAAAACAAAGCCATTTCAATGTGTTGAGTGACTGAATGAAATTTACTACAAATTTATTATTATTTATGACAATTGGTGGCAAATGATGTCGCAAAACACACTCCAGTGTGATGACAGAGATATTTGGAACAATTTAGGATGCAATAGAGTATATTAGGTTTAAAAACATCCTTGGATGATAGAAACTGTCTGATCTGTCTGATGGAAAACGAAAAGCTGAAATTCCTCAGTAATTATCCTGTGTCATGAGCACATGTGTGTTTTGCAGGATAATAAGAAGCTTAATGAAAAGTTTATAAAAATTAAGCAAAATGGGAACTCGTGTGATGCAAATATATCCTCACAACAGACTGCTCAGAATGTCATTACTGAAGCTTTGAAAATTAAACTGGCAGAAACCTCTAAGGCCAGGTCCAGGCTGTCAGAAGAAGCAGTGCAGAGAAGCAATCCAAGACCTGGAAGAAGAATCTGCCCTTCCAAGCTGGAGCACTGTCTGGACTCAGCAGCTCAGCTGGGGGTGCAGTGCATCCCACCAGCCCCTCTGTACCCACAAAAATAAATCTGTGTGACCCTGGGTACCTCGGGGTCCCTCTGCTCCCATCCTCTGGCTGCTCTAGGTTTGGTGGAGATGTTTGCAATTTAAGTGCAGAAGGTCTTACAGCAAGGTTTGAAGGGTTGATGAAAGACCTGAGGCAAGAGAAACCACCCAACCCAGATGACCAATCTCTAGGACTGTCCCTCTGTTTCTATGATTTTTTCAGCTGGAATTTATAATGGTTTCTCATTTGTGTGGGTGATGTCATAAGACCTTCCTGAGTGGAGCTAAATGTAAGACTGGCTGCAGCACAGCTTCCCAAGCTTTTGCCAAAGGCAAGGTTTTTGCAGCAAAAAGCAAACTGCCTGATCATACAGCCCCTGGGATGCTCTGTGCAGGCACTACAGGCCACTGGAGCTGTTGCTTTTGCAAGGCTGTAAGAGACACAAAACACCAAGTTCTCACTGTGCTCAAGTTCTTACATTTCTCTTGTCTCTGTTCTTCTGTACCATGGGCTTTTCTGGGAAGCTTGATTACCTGCAACTACTGATGTCCAGATGCAGAGGTTCCTGAAATCCTGTTTTATACTGGGTTTGCATAGTCTTCACCAAGGGAAAATTGTTAAAAACCTAAGTCACAGATTTTACAGGTAAATTAATTATCTAGCTAAGCAGCCACTCCATCTTACAGACCAGAGAACAATGCTTGCCATGAGTCAGAGATTAGGGCTCTAACTGCATTTTTATCATCTATAAAACCGGACATGCGGAAACTATGGTAGGAAATTCCAGTAATTAAAGCATAGGTTCTCCTAATTAACTGCAAAGCATCATTAAAATCTAATGAAACTGTAGTGGAGTAACACGGGAGTCTGGCTTAATAGCAAGGAGATAAATGCAAATGGTAGTTAAATTTTCATGTAGTTGGGAGTTTATACAATAGGACTGAATGCACTTACAGGAATTTAGAATAGAAAAGCTCACTTTTAACACTTGTGAATCAGGATTAGGAAGTTAGGGTATTAGTGTATAAGAAGTTAACATATTAAAGAATGTGGCATACTGAAGCATAAGAATCAAAGAAATAAAGATTTTTTGCTACTTAAAATAGTTGTATTTGTGGTGGTAAACTGAATTTCACAGCAGATGACAAATAAGAGAAGTGGTGTTGCATCAGCATGATGTAAGACTAAATTTGTTCTGTGCAGAGACTTCATCCTGGCACACTTGAACAATCTGCATCACCCTCACCCTCCCATATTACACCAGAGATTCAGCTGAAGAAAGAACTTTAAAGCTCTGCAAGCACATGTCAAGAGTCACCTGTCATCTGTCATGACTCTTCCTTAACTCCTCTGGACCCTTGGCCTTTAAGTTCTTAGGAGGGAAACCATGGATACTGGAGCTTGAATGCCTAATTTAAGCTGACATGTACCAGGTCCACAGGAGCCACAGGAGCATGGCTGATCCTCACAGAACAAAAATCTGAACCTAAAACTGTTTTATCTTGCCTTATGTTCAAGGCATTGCAGCTGGAACCCTTCCCTCATCTGACTTCAGCTCTCTGAAATACCCAAAGCTGGAGGGGCTCACTGCACATGCAATGCAGAAAAAGAGTTCTTGAGGACAAGCCTTGAGGTCAGTCCTGGCCCATGAGGAATCACTCTCCAAAGATGATCTTCTTAAACCAGCTTTTGAAGAAACCTAAATGAGGTTCCTTCTGAGGGCTAAAGTCCTGTAGGGCTTCCACCCTGGCACAGAGGCCAAGGGTATCACATTTTCTGTGCCTCCCTACCAAAGGCCTGAGGTGCCAGTCCAGAGATTTGAGCTCAGGGAGATCAATCTCTACTGCCATCAAATTTTTAACTAATTATGCCGATGGATATGCCAATGACCTGGGCATCAGCAAAAGGTCCAAGCCAGTCAAACTCATTTAACTGCAATGCACAGATGCCAGTACTTCTCAGGATAATACAGATGTAGTTTAGACACTAAATTATGCTCTTGGGCTAATTTGAAGACCAATTTCCCATTGATTTCAATAATTAAGTACATTAAAATTATTTAGCATTTAGACAAAAGACTGGAAAGCAGAAAACATTTACCACAATGAAAAATAAAGGCATAAATTAAAAACAGCAAAACAGTCCATTTTTAAAACAATCATGTTTTTTTCCAACACAAACATAATAAAGGCATAGCATGCAGTTAAAAATTCGTTAGTAAATTATAAGCTGCTATACAGTCCACTTTCTAAAAAAGCACACAATGGACACAAACTCTTGCTGTCTAAACTGTTACCTCGGGCACTCATACCTTTTCTGTGTCAATTCCTTTAGACATGGACCAGGTTGAGACAATGTAATCCATGACTCTTTCACTAAGGCCTTTTGGGACTTGATATAATTTTAGGAAATCCCTCACGTTGTTCAGCATCTCATGGTAGCGGTTGGTGTTGGCATACATTTGCTGGAAAATGGTGGTGACGTTTCCAAAAATAGTTGCATAAAGAAGAGCTGGAAAAAAGAAAAAATTGAAAATAAATATGTATGCTCTAGCAAATGCTAATCACAATTCAAGGGTACTGTCAGAGAATTTTATGTTTTACATGCTTACATGAGACATTACCGACTTTTCTGAAAAGAGAAATATTCTGGTATCTCACAATACCAATGTGCTGCACTACTTCTGTTTCTGACATTATCAAACACACAGAAATGTGCCTGTCATTTTTAATAATCTTTGCTCAGAGGTACTTTATAGCAGAATTCAGCTATGCATTTCCATATTGCTTTAAAAAAAAAACAAAACAACTGCATCCTACAAATGGTAAGAAATAAGCCACTGTGAAAGGAGAAAATGCCTTCCATCACTCAATGCATAATGGCTTCCCTCCACACAACCATTTCTGCCTCATTCCAGTAACCTCACTTTGTTCCAAACCAATTTACTATTGTACATCACCCCTACGTGAGAGGTGGCATTTTTAAAGAAACATGGTGTTCTCCTAAAACCTATCTAATAGAAGAACTGTACTTCCATTTCACACTGTGATATTTATGTGTCCAGTAGAAATCAGATGTCGAAGTTCATCACAAATACAGGATTCAAACCAGAGAAAGTCACGCAATATGTAGCACAAATGAACACAAGATTTCTCTTGAAGAAAACAGAGCAGAATAACAGCCTGTGTGATGTTGCAAGGGCAGGTTTTTTCCTTGCTTTTCTGATTGCTGTGTCATATCTGCAAGATATGGAAAGATTTTCTATACCTCTGTATCCATTCAGACATACATCAATACTTAAGAGTACAAGCATATGGATTATAAAAAAGTTTAGATGGATGAATGCCACATGACTTTTTTATTTCTTTAGCCTTCTCTGCTCTTTTGGACTTTTGCAGCAGGACATACCTGATGAAATATCACTTCTCTTAAGTGCAACATCCCTCATCTTTTTGAGCATTTGCTGATTTATCATGCACTCATCTCATCAGGTATGTGAGGGCACAATATCCCTGATGTTAGATGCTACTGCAAATCATTATAAGTGTATAGAGAAGCCCTAATTGCCCTCAAAATGTTGTTTTTCTGCAGAAGTAGAATTCCTATAACCTCTAACCACAGCTAGACTGCATCTGCAAATCCAATGCCTGCAACCCAACTGGCCATGCAGACCTACCCAGAGCACACTGATTGAAAATGTGCCCTGCAAGACTGGCACAAAGAGATGCAACTCTGTCACCTGCCAGGCTGGAAAGAGCTGAGAATGCCATGGTGAAAACAGCTTGTCTGAAGCAATTTGCACCTATTACCTCCTCTTGGCAGAGAGGATTTGTAGAAAAATATAAAGCCAGAGAAGAAATTCTAGTTGTGTCTCATGTCCTGGAAAAGTTGTACTTAAAAAAAAATGTTTCTTCAACAAATTATGGGTAGAATCAAACACAAAAAAATCCCTGCAAACACCACCCAGCAATACCTCACTAAGCCAGAATGCACCAGGCTGTGGAATCTGCACTGACAAACTCAGCATTCTTTTTCTCTGTTGGAAACTAAAGTCTTCCTTTCAAATTGGAAATGGTAAAAATGGTTGAGTTCATCCAAATACTCCACTTCTCTCACAGGTGGGGAATCTGCATGGGGAATCTTTGAGTTAAAGGGAACCTGCTTAGGTCTGCACAGCTTTGGGGCTGTGCCTCAAGGGCTCTCCTCACCATGGTGCTGCCCCATGCCCACACCCAGCTGGTTTGCAGGTTTTGGGGGGAGAGAAGATTTTTCATAATTTACCTCTCTCTGTAAATGCCCTCCCCATCCCTGTTCTCTACATGATAACTAGAAAAGGAGGTCATTTATAAAAAGGTGATTTTATCATTTTGCAGGTCTTGGTATGCAACAAAATTTGGAGATGCTGACAAGCATCTAATGCTGCTGCCACCTTCAAAGGGTTAAGGCTCTCCATCAATAACCCACACTGCCCATAATTAGCAAGTGAAGACTTGTCACAGAGTCTCTACTTAATGAGCAAATATTGAAGTGACAAGTGCAAATCTTAGCCCTCACCTATTAAAAAAACAAAGGCAGAGAAGCACTACCAAGGGCATTTCACTTTTGCTGTATTTTAATTATTTTTGGCAGGTGGAATTGGCAGTAAAAAAACATGTGCAAAAGGTTCTGAAAGAAAATAAAATGCTGTGCTTCTCTTTACAGTAAAAGTATTTAAACAACCTCTAAAGAAATCTCTGAAGTTGTTCATACACTTAAAACTCAATAGTTTTAATTTAGTCTCTCCATTTACAATAGACAGGAGAGATGAGGTTGAAGGTGAAATTACCCAATTTCATGAAAAGACTGCTTAGGTCAAACTGCATTTATTCACCTTCTCTTTAATGACTTGAATTTCTCCAAACATTTCCTGTTATGTTCCTACAGTCATGCAACACTCATTAACTCAACTGTTCTACGTGTGTAAATCTGGAACAGTCTTCACTAAATTTTACAGAGATAAATTTGGTGTAATGATGCAGAATTTTTTTTTCTCAGTCCTAAAGGTGAGGCAAGTGGTTAAACTGTAATTGTAGTTTCTATTTTTACTCTGAAGTGTGGAAAATCTCCCCAGAATTACATACAAGAACCCAAGTACTATATTTTTACATATAAAAGCTTTATAAAACATTTCTGAATGATTTAGCAATGGTATTACATAATGTTTTAGCCTACTTAAAAATAAGGAACTTTCTGAAAAAAAAAAAAAAAAAAAAAAAAGACTCAGAGTTACCTAAATAATCCCAAAGCACTTCAGATCTCTTATTATCCTGACTGTATGCTAAATACATCCAGATAGGAACATCTGCCTTAAGGAACTGAAGGAACTTTATTGAGAGATCTGATTTTCCTTACATCCTGGAGTATTATTAATCCAAGCATATACAATGTTCCTCTAAACTGCAATTGTAAAGAAGATTAGTGAGGGGAATACCAGCCTCTTCTTCCAAATACCAAGTGGAACAAAGACAAGTGGAAATGGCCTCAAGTTGTGCCAAGGGAGGGTTAGATTGGAAATTAGGAAAACTTTCTTCACTGAAGGATTGTCCAGCACTGTCACAGACTGCCCAGGGCAGTGGTGGAGTCACCACCCCTGAAGGAATTTAAAACACAAGCAGCTGTGGCACTTGGGGACATGGTTTAGTGGTGGTCTGGGCAGTGCTGGGTTAATGGTTGGACTCAATGACCACAAAGATCTCTTTCCAACTTAAACAATTCTATGAGGCCATGATCCTGGAAAAATATTCATTTCTGCATGTTGAGGCTAGCTGTGACTTCTTCAAATAATTTTTGGAATTAGCTATTCCTGCAAGATTTTTAGGTAGGAATTATTAAACTTCTATCATTCAGGAGGGATTAGATAAAAACTCCAATATACATTTTTTGCACTGGGTTTGCACAGCCTAATTTTGGTACTGAGAGGGTGGCTTCTGTGTACACAGGGGTGGCTTCTGTGAGAAGCTGCTGGAGACCCCTCCATGTCCAGCAGAGCCAGTGCCAGGCAGCTCCAGGACAGATGTGCCACTGGCCAAGGCTGGGACAACTAGAAATTATGGCAACACCTCTGTGATGTCATATTTAAGAATAATAAATTTTAAAAAATTTAAAAAAAAAAGTATTGTGCAGATGTAACTGCAGCCAGAGAAGAGAAGGGTGAGAATGTGTGACAGGAACAGCTCTGCAGACACCAACTCTGGCATCCAGAGTCAAACCACTACAATTTACTAAACAGAAATAGAGTGAAACCCAGTACCTAAATATCTGATTTATGTTTTTAGAAGCTGTGCAGTTTTCTGTTATTTCTTTCCACCTCACTTTAATACCTCTGCTCAGACTGCAAAATGTTTGCAGGCTCTGTTTGGTGCAACACCAGGCAGTGTCCATCTCCGACGTCAAAACAGCCTCGCTGGGATGCTGCAGCAGCAAAAAGCTGACACTTCCCTAACAGAAATAGCTTTCCTCAAATCCACCAACACATTTCAACCAAGTTACTACTTGGGAGAAAATAATCCTGCTAAGCCCCCTCCCTCATGAGTGTTTTATAGCACTTCTGTGATGCCAGCCCCAGCCTCCCACCTCTCCCCGTCAGGGACACTCCTGTCTGCCAGCTGTGCCAGTGAAAGCACCAACACAGTCCCATGCTTTTACAGCTCTTCAAAAGGCCAACCTTGATTCTGAACCCTTGGCCCCACTAAATATTTTGCTGTTAAAATACTCTCCCCCATCCCAGCAGTGTTTTACATCAGTGTTCAATCACTGGTTTTCCCCATTTACAGGGAGATGCCAACACCAGAGCACACCCACTTTTATATTTTCCTTCCAAAACCATCCAAAGCATTAAAAAAAAATGTTCCTCCAATTACCCCTGCAGCCAGATCACTGTATAATCCCATGGCACATCATCCAGTGTATTTATCATCCTGCAAGTGTGCATTGTCACACCCCCTTTGCAGAGGAGAAGCTAATGGGCAAAGGTCTGGATTCAGCCATGAAACTCAGCTCTGAACTCCTCACCAAAACCATCTGAGTGCTGAAATCAGGAGGGAGTTGCAGGGAGTTCTGTCTGGTCAAAAGCCCACCATGACTGCAGGTTCCAGTCTGGTTCCACAAGCAGCCTGGTCCAGATGTGTGTCCTGCATTGGGTGGCATTCCTTCATCCCACTCTGCAGACACACAGGGTGCACAGCTCCTCCCTAGGTCCAGCTGACATCCACCCCTGCTTTCCTGGCCCAGCAGCTTCACAGAATTCACAGAATTCACAGAATTCATAGAATCACTAGGTTGGAAGAGACCATGAAGTTCATCGAGTCCAAGCCATGCCCTAACACCTCAACTAAATTATTGCATCAAGTGCCACATCCAGTCTTGTTTTTAAACTTTCCTGATACTACAGTAGTGCAAATCCTAAATTAAGAGGATAGTGATAATAAAGACAGGCCTCTAAAATTCCTGTTAACATTGATATTTGCTTGACA